CCGGCTCCTTGCCCAGCCCCCTCTCTCTGCAGTGGATGCGGGCCCGCTGGACCTCAGACCCCTGCTATGCCTTCTTCGGGGTGGATGGCACCGAGTGCTCCTTCCTCGTCTACCTCAGTGAGGTCGAGTGGTTTTGCCCCCCACTGCCTTGGAGGAACCAAACGGCTGCTCAGACTGCCCCCAAGACCCTCCCCAAAGTCCAGGTAAGGCAGAGGAGCTGTGGATGGGTCAGTGGCCATGGGGACAGGAGGAGCCCTGTGCCTGGGAGGGACGAGGCCGTTCTTAGGTGGGGAGGGCCAGGTCGCAGGCCCACCCTGAGGACAGAAGCCCGCTGACCATGTCCATCCCACCTTCTGCAGGATGCTGCAACGTGAGGCTGCGTGAAGGGCAGTAGGATCCTGGAGGGTCCCCCTTAATGGCGTAGCTGCCACTTACTGGGGAGCTCTGGTGGTGCAGTGCCTAAGGCATTTGACTGCTAACCAGAAGGTTGGCGGTTCAAACACCAGCCACTCCTCAGGAGGAAGATTGGTCAATCTACTTCCATAGTAATACCGCCTTGGAAACCCAAGGAGAGGTTGCTGAGTCGGATCCGACTCGACGGCAGTGAGTTTGGTTTTTTTGTGGTTTGCCACCTACCGAGGGCTTCTGTGCTGGCACTCTGTCTGCCCTGGATTCTCCCAGCAGGCGCTGTGTGAGCTCACCGAGCGGGTGATGGTGCTCAGGCTAGCACCAGGCAGACAGAAGCGCTGGCTCAGCTCAAGGGCAGCTTGGCCCCTGCCACCAGGGCCCTGGCTCCAACCACTGCCCTCACGGCCTCCTTGGGGTGCCTGGGGTCTGCCATGACCGACCCACCTCCCCAGAGGGCTCAGGACAAGCAGATAATCAGAGCTGGGTTTGACTGGTGTGTGGGGGTTGGGGGTTGGAGGGGTGAACCCCTTAGGAAGTGTGGGTGACGAGAGAGCAGGCCCAGCCCCATGAGCCAGTTACCAGCATTGACTCTGGTGCATGACACCCCATGTGTGGCAGAGAAGAACTGTGCCCCACAGGGATCTCAGTGGCTAATTGTTCAGAAGGAGATCACCAGGTCTTTCTTCTGAGGCACCCTGGGGTAGACTCAAACCCCCAACCTTCCGGTTAGCAGACTCTCTGACCTTCTGGGAAGAATACACAGAGGCCCACAGCCCTGGCCAGGGGCCTGGGGAGAATGGGCGGTGGCCGCTGTTGGGTCTGGAGCTCCAGGCCTGAGGCGCTGGACTCCCCCTCGCCGCCCCCCCCCCCAGGCAGTGTTCCGGAGCAACCTGACCCACCTCCTGGAGCTGGTGGGCAGCGGGAAGGAGTCGCTGATCTTCATGAAGAAGCGGACCAAGCGGCTGACTGCCCAGTGGGCCCTGGCCGCCCAGCGCCTGCAGCAGAAGCTGGGGGGCGCCCGGAGGGAGCAGAAGCAGGTACCGTTCTCCTCTTGCCACCCCCAGGGAACTGAGCTCCAAGAGCCCAGGGGAGGCTCAGGGCCTGTGGCTGCTCGTGGGCACGTGGAGGAGTGTGGGGTGGGGCAGCGGGGTTGGGAGGATGGTACTTCTCAAGACTGGGGCACGGGGGCAGCCCCCTGCCAGGTGCTGTGCGTTCTGTAGACATCTGTTCAAGTCAGGCAGAAAGGTGATGGTGTCTTCCAGAATGTGGGAATGCATGGAGCCCGCTTTGAGAAGGTGCCTTGGTCTGTCTGTTCACACTTGCATCCATTCATGCACTAAGAGGTCACGTAACTGTCAGGTCCCCCGTTTGTCACACACGTGTCCATTGCTGCACTAAGTGGCCACGTAGCCCCTACGTCCCGTTTGTTTCTTCAAAGTCCTTATCTCATGTACTTAGCTGTGTCTGTGTTAACTGTTGGCTCCCTCTCCCTCTCGAGGGCAGGGCTGGTTCTGTCTGTGCCCCGTGCCCTGTGCAGTGGGGCCCCCACCGTGCTCCGATGCAGACAGTGCTGCCCTAGCTGGAGGCAGAATCTGCTGCGGGGTCTCCCGGCCGGGTCTGGGGTGGCAGGCTGGGTGCCGCTGCTCCTCGGTGCTGACGCTCCGTGTCCCCGTCCAGATCCTGGTCCACATCGGCTTCCTGACCGAGGAGTCTGGGGATGTGTTCAGCCCGCGGGTGCTGAAGGGCGGGCCCCTGGGGGAGATGGTGCAGTGGGCGGACATCCTGGCTGCGCTTTACGTCCTGGGCCATGGGCTGCGCATCACCGTCTCCTTGAAGGAGCTGCAGAGGTGAGCATCAGGGAGAGCCATGCATCGTGGGTGGGGGGCGTGATTCCTGGGAGCTCCCATGCCCTCTGTGGAACCCTGACCACCATTCCTGGAAGGCTTCCCAGTGTATCTGACATTTCCTTATTTCCGACTCACAGCGCCCCTAGAGAAGAGTGTGGAAATACGGTTTCCAAGGCTGTCAATCTTCACAGAAGCAAAGCCCAAACCACACCCACTGCTGTGGAGTCCATTGTGACCCACAGCACCCCTAGAGGACAGAGTGGAACTGCCCACAGGGTTTCCAAGGCTGTCAATCTTCACGGAAGCAAAGCCCAAACCACACCCACTGCCATGGAGTCCATTCTGACCCACAGTGCCCCTAGAGGACAGAGTAGAACTGCCCACAGGGT